GTGCGGATACGGTTGATGGTAGACCTCTGTTTGCGGGGAAGTGACGCTCCTAGAGGTTGTTGAGTCGGATCCAAGACTAGGTCTTCGTCCGGGACATTGGAATTGTTCTAGGCGTTCCTCCTTCGGTTCTCTAGGCTACACGGCGTTCGGTGGAGAGAACCTCCAGTTCCAGAAGGGCTTACTTGATTTGAGACGAGGTGGTGACAGGTTGTTGAGGTCTTCATGGATGAGAAGGTCTTACTTAGCGTAACGGTGATATTCCTTTGACCCCGCAGCATCCCGGCGAAGAGATGGAGTTGCTATGTTTGCGATCTCCGGGAGCCATGTTAGCCGTGTGGATGTGAGGGTTCCAGTGATGATCCTTATGGTTGAGTTCAACTCTATGTCGAACGCGTTCAGCTTTTCGCACGAATATCCCCATCTTAGGATGAGCGTAGATCTCTTTCCGCTGTATGTATCAGGTAAACGGATCCTCTACTGCACCGGAGATGATTGTAAAGGAAGCGCTGGAGAAGGGAAAAATCCCTTTCTCTCCTCGCACAGATATGCCTTTTAAAGAAGAATAATATCAAGTACCATCCATTCGAGCGTCACGTGACTCTTCTCATGAAGGCAACTAGGAAAATGACCCATCTTCCCTCTATCCTTCAGGTCAAAATTTTCGGAAGACACCTTGGAATAGGGTAGCTCATAAGACCCATATATTGATGAATTCAAATGTCTTCCTCGGTGATGTCTGTGAGGGAAGAAGATCGGGCACCCCAAGAAAAGCATTAGAGATTAATTTCAGCTGTATAAGGTACTGCCTCGCTGTAGCGGGTCCTTTGACACCATCTAGCGTCGATTCTGTGAACCTTTTTTTTCCTAGCCACTGTCAGATGGATAGCAGTCATGCTCACGAAAAGTACCTTTTTAACAATCAGCGAATGTCCTTCAAGAACATCATTTATTGGTGATCATACGGCACCTTATATTCACTTCCAAAAGATGCTCATCCCCGAACCTTGAAAGTCATAAGTGTCTTCGCGCCGACGTTGAACGTCTATCTGAACGATCTCGTGTTACTTGGGCCTGTCCGTTGCCAGCGTTCAAGTACCTCTCCCAGTTTCAGTTTTCCTGCACATGTTACTTGTTGGACTGTGTTCACTGTCTACATTGTCATGCAATAGCGAAGGTCATTATCGCTGTCTTTATCTTGGCAGATGAAATTGATCGGCCAGATACAGGCTTCACTGAAACAGGCTTCATCGCAGCGACTTCTCCTGTAGTTATACTACTCGTGATAATCATCATTGTCTTCATTTTCTACAACCGATTACGGAAAGAGCAAGTGAGTCATCTTCATGGTGTAGAATTTCATCAGAATGTTATTTGGTGTATCTTGTGTTCACAAACCTTGCAGGTTCGCAGGATTGTATTACCAAAGAAAGAGACAGAGCGATTTCGAAGAGGAAAACCGATGAACATCAATCCCACAGTGTGCCTCAGTGAACAAGCAGATCTTCTGCCATATGACGAACACTGGGAATTCCCAGCGGAGAGGCTACGACTAGGTATGACCCCGTTCTCGGAAAGAATCTCCTGGACAAGTGACGATTTCAATTATGGTTACAATCTTAATAGGGGAGGTGCTTGGTCGGGGGCCATTCGTAATTGTCATCAAGGCCGTGGCTCGGGGCATCAGGCCCCCCGAGCCTGAAACCACAGTTGTTGTGAAGAAAAGCAAGCCTCACTCTGACGTGCATTTCAAGGAACTTATGATGGAAATGAAGATCATGAGTCACCTTGGAAAGCACCTGAACGTGGTGAATTTCCTCGGAGCCTGTTCAGGAAATATGGCTTCTGGTGAGTTCCTTCATTATTTATTAAGCATTGCAGCAAAAACATTCACATTTCTGTTTCCTGAATAACGTCCAGAATTACAAGGTAGCAAATATGTTTTGTCTATATTTTTAAAAGTGAAGAGTTCTCAATTGAGCGCTGCTTACAATCTCTAATATACAAGGTGTCCCGTTTATCGCGGACGATTTTAATCGCGTATGAAATTCCTCCTACTTGAACAAACATAACAAAATCTTCTCAATATTTAGATGTCTGTTTAGCATTTATTGTGACGAAGTTTCAGCCAAAAAAGGAAGAATCACGATTACACACGATATACACGATTAAAGTCGTCAGCGATAAATAGGGCACCCAGTACATTGACGATCGTGACTAACTGACTGACTGACGCTAATTCCAACCATGTTCTAGAGAAGTTAGAAATCTGAAACTTGGTACCCATATACCTTTTGGGATGCAGAGTTCAGAAAAAATCAGACTTTTGAGGTACATCCCCTGGGGGAACACATTTTGGGAGGATGAGGATGGCATCGAGAGGCTTGAATGGATGTCCCGGGTTCGGTGGTGTAGTGGCAGCACACCTGACCGGCAATCAGGAAGCCCGTGTTCAATTCCAGGCCTTTCCATGGCTTTCTTTATCTCTCATGCCTTCCAGGTCCAGGAACATGGAAAGATGAAACTTGGCATGGACGTGCCTACCGAGACAATGAGTTCAAGAAAAATGTAACATTTTAGACCCCTGCCCTGGGGGAATATTATTGGGCCCGACGATTTCAAGTAATTTTTTTTTTGTCCTGCCGTATTGAGCTTGTGTGGAAAGATGAGACTTGGTACATAACTACATATTGGGATGCTGCGTGCAGAAAAATTCAGACTTTGGAAGTAAATGCCCTAGGGGCAGAAATTTCTAATGGGAGACGTTTTCGAATAATTTTTTGCATGAGTTAAACTGATGAACGTGGAAAGCAGAACCTTTGCATGAATGTGACTACTGAGACAAGGAGTTAAATAAAAATGCAAAGTCTCGATACATCCCCAGGGGGAATTTTTTCGAGGGGCGATGTTTTAAAAAATATATATATTGTCGTGGCGAATTGTACAGAAATGCAAAGGTGAAACTTGGCACACGTATAAGTGACATGATATTATTAAGTTGAGGGAGGATTCAGCTTTCATGGTACATCCTCTCAGGGCATAGCTTTTGGGTGGGTCGCTTTTCCAAATACATTTTTTCCGCCAGCAAAAACTGGAAACGTATAAGGCTGAAACTAGGTGGCATAGAGTTCCCTGAGTCTACATTTCAGAAGAAATAAAATTGTCGTTAAAACCCATCGGGACACTTTTTTCAATCCCATTTTTTAGTCTTAGTGCAGATTATTGGAGGGAAGTATTTCAAAATATGTACCCTTACAAAAAGGGAGACATGAAAAGATTTCGAGTTAGGCACATTAGAAATAATAGAAGTAATGATTTTGATAAAAATCAGGGCTTTCGTCCTCATATGTCATGTATTTCAATTGGGACGTTCTTTAGATACGTGTTTCTCATTTCGCAAAAAAATAATGAATTAATTACTAACCAAGGTAATGGAGCGCCACAGGCGCGACCAAAGGCGCTAGTATTCATATGCAGTATATTACTAGATCGCTATGAGTCCTTGGCTTTACCTTCCGTCCAGGTTTGATAAAGGACTCAGGGCCTTAACATTGGCGGAACGAAAATATATGAATTGTGTTTTTTCGTAAGATGGTCATTCTCATGCTAACGTCTTGAAGATTTTGGAAACCAAACAATTATCGCACAGGAGTCTTAGTCGGACTGTGAAGCGCTTTAAAGAGCCCTGTAGAACAGACGACTGACGAAAAAGGGGTATTCCTCACACTGTTCGTGTGCCACTGCTGAAAAAGAAGGTGATGAGCCATGTGAGGCCAACTTAAAAATTGGTCATTGAGGAAGTTGGCTGCTGTGGCTAAGGTTAATCGGGAATCAAAGTGGCTGATAGTCACAAGGGACCTTTGCATGTCTCCCTACAAAGAGTCCAGTCCTCACCGACATTCGCTACCCGAAGCAAAAGATTCGACTGAAACGAAAGACTTTTTGAACGGTTCACTGACTGCAATCGTGAGCTTATCCTTTTCTTGAATGAGAAGATCTTTTCGACAAAGCAGGGCTTCAACGCCCAGAACATACACCAGCGAATTACCAGCTTAACAGAGATACCATCAGTGCTGAGAATCGTTTCTTGGTACCAGAAGGCTGGCGACATGGATTGGGCTGTGTTTTCAGCAAATAACAGCGCAGGCCTGGTTTTCGTCCTAAAAGGAGCAAAATGAACAGGCATCGGCTGTGCGAGCTGACTTTGGAATCCATGGCGAAGCGCTGCACTCGAAACGTTTTCAAGAACTAAAACTGAAACTTTCATCAAGATTCTACCTCAGCCCACTCTTCCAAAGAAACTCAGTAATTGTCGGGGCGCAACAAGCCGGACCTCGTCATGAGAACTAATTTGCCTCCATCATCTCCAGATCTCAATCCCTTGGACTACGTCTTCTGGTCACTCTTGGGGAAAAGACCTGCCCTCCTCCACGCAAGAATGTTGGGTTTTTGAAGTTTCTCCTCCTTGTTAAAAGGAGGAAGGAGATTCCTCAAGAAACTCTGCGTGCTACAGTCCCCGAAGGACGTCGCCCCTCTAAAACTAATGCGAAGGCACTTACTGAATATTTAGAGTAGTCCTTTGTTTAAAAGTTGCCTAACGTGTAGCTGAGCATTTCTAAAAACTTGAATCTTTCTTGAACCTTTGGTATTGGTACAGAAGGAAAAAAGCTGAAGGGACAGAACTTATTTGTCACCTTGCTATCATTTGTCCCGCTAAAAACATATGTTGACTTTTCTCGTAGGTGATCTGATGGTCATCTTGGAGTATTGTCAGCATGGGAATCTGGAGCGTTTTCTGAGAAAATATCGACCATACTTTAAAAATGGGATTAACCATCACACTCTCAATAAATCCAGGACTGGGAAAGAGTGCCTTCACACCGACGCTCACCGGCTCCAAGGTGTCTAGTTTTGTAATTGAATAGTCGCACCTATTGAGTAAACTTTTATTCAATATGAGAATATTCGCTGAAAATGTTCCTGCTTACAGCGGTATACTTCTAATGAAAGAGGTAAGGGAATCTGAATTCGTAGTCGTTCCCATGGTACTCACGGCTCAATTCGAATCAAGCGAGAACGCCAGTAGGACTTACCTACCCTTGCAAACAGAATTTGAGAAGCTTCTAACATTACGTTCACTTTCAGCTGCAATTCTCTAATTCTTCTCTTTAGTTTCAAGCAAAAAGCCATGCTTAAACATTTGTTTCAATCCATCAAAGCTCTTTTGTGATCCTGATTCTATTGCTTCAGACTTCAATATGCAAGCCAGTAGACTGAGGGACTTTAGAAGCGGGAAATCCTACCTGTATTGCACAAAGGTAATCTAATTTGTTTGTTTTTTTTCCGTTCGCAATTTTAATTTTTAAAAATCTAGGCGCTGGCTCATTGAAATACTTAATCATTTATCGCCACACATGACATTGATTAAGCTCAAATTCAAGTAACAATAATTTCCAGGAAGAGAACATGGGCAAGGAATGGAAATGACAATCGGGAAAAAAGTGGAGACCTCCAAAGGGATTAATCTTCTTTTGTCTTTCACTCGAGGCGATCTGGTGTCCTGGGCATACCAGATATCTCAAGGCATGGAGTACTTGAGTTCCCGGAAGGTGTGTTATTTCTAAAGCACAATTATTAACTGCCATTCTGAGCTGGAGAAAATGCGCGAACTAATACTTATTGAATCATTGAATATTACCTAGGTAATAAAACTGGGAACAGTAAACTAAACAGTAAAACTGGGAATATTCAACACGAGACTTTTTTTCCTTCAAAACCCTTTGCCTATTAGCCCTAATTTCGCCATAATGCAAGCGAAACTTTCATAAAAATGAAAAATGAGGAATGCAATTTTTTTACCATGATTATTTATGAAGGCCTCGTGCACACAAACACCGAGCGTAGCTGCAATTCGAATACTATCGAGAAATCGTCAAGCTCAGAATAAAAACCAAGAGACGCACTTCCATTGAGACCTTGAAACAGAACGTAGATGAAATATAGAAGGTACTCCATTTCATTGAAGATTGTCCATCGAGATTTGGCGGCTAGGAACATTCTCCTAGCAAAAGAAAACGTCGTAAAGATATCAGGATTCGGCTTTGCCAGAGATACCCATATAAACAATCAGTACATCAAGGAAGGAGATGTGAGTTCCTTAAATTGAGATTTCCTTGTTACATCAACTGATTGAATATTAATAGAGTCCCTGAACCTGAATCTACCAGGGTCCAGCACCTTACAAATGGATGGCTTTGGAATCACTCGTCCATGAGAAAGTTTATACAAGCAAATCAGACGTTTGGGCATACGGAATAACACTCTGGGAAATTTTCAGCCTTGGAAAAACTCCATATCGAGGCGTGAAGTTTGGAGAACTCATCCAGCGCTTGCAAGCCGGCTATCGCATGGAGACTCCTGATTGCTCCAATGAACCTATGTGAGACCAATATCTTTACCCCGCAATACAATATGAATTTCAGCTAGTTTTTTAAATTGTAATTACCACTTCCTGCGTCCTTCTTGTACAGCTATCAAATCATGAGGAAGTGCTGGGATGCAGATCCAAATGATCGACCAACATTTTCTGTACTGAGTGTATGGTTTGCTACTATGATGCCTAAATTTGAGCATCAAGTAAGTATTGATTCCATACCCGTACGAACACACAAGACTATTCCGAACATAATGTCATCCATTGATCCACTTTGTTTTTCTGCAGCGCATCTTGGAGCTGAACAAGCCATACGAGGAAATGAACGCCGAGTACTTCAAGACGCACCCAGACTACTTGCAACTGATGGCACCAGGAGGATTCGAAGAGGGATACCTTGAACCACGTGGAACCCTGGATTTGCAAAAGAGATCGTCTGCATCATACCAAGACTATGAACCCGTTCACGAGTACTTTGAAATCGATGAGGATTTCAAATCGAAAATCTCCAATAGCGTACCATGGGATGAAATACAAGGAAGCCAATTCCCAAGGATGCAAACTGATGGTCTTTGGGGCGATACCCACGTATGATACGGGAACCAGAGCAAAAAAACGAAGCCATCAAGTTGGATTCAAAATAATAACCGTATTTGAACTGCAGTCGTTTATCTAAATGGTGCCACGACAATTGAATTGAAAATGACCGTGGAAAGCCACGGAGAGTTCTGACGTAATCCTATCATAATTATGAGTTTCAAATGATTGTATCACAATCTCGAGAATCCTTCGGACTTCTGGTTTCTTACACAAATATCTTTTTTTCCAGGAATGTCATTTCCATGATTGCTTATGTCCTCTTTTACTGCACGGTCCTTCTCCATGAGATCCTATTCTAATGGACACCCTACCTGTCCAACGATTCCATATTGCTACGTTTGGTTGTGTTTACCGGTCAGAAATGAAAAAAAAGAAATCAGATTCTGGAGTGAAACCGTAATCATCTTAAAAGAAGAAGATGAATTCTCGAAAATGATTTAAGGATGTCTGGAAAGTGTTTTTTTTTGTGGAAAATGTGCTACTCCTGAGGTTCTTGTTCCACTGGACTGTCGAAAAGTCTGTATAAACCAAGAATGTCGAATGAGTGAGAAAATCTACACAAAAAGTACCTGCTTCGAATTTTCTATCAGCACTTGGTGTAGTAGCCAAAGCTGGCGATTTTTTATGTCAGTCCTGCGACACTTTGAGGAAAAATATTGCTGTACATTTTAAAGCAAAAGTTACTTTTAATTATCTCTGTAGGTGAAAATGATTCAAGCCAGCAACTTAAGTATTTCCAGAAGGTTACGGAAAAATTACTTTTTCACGTGAGGTTGACCCATTTATCCCTTCAATGAGTCAAGTATTGAATTCCAAGAAATTTATGCTGGAAAATTAATATGAAACTAAGTGTCCATCACGTTTCCTTATATTTCAGAGAGGAGACTTTTCTATCATCCCTGGTATATGAATGAAGGTTCAGACTCTCCATGATGTTATTGTTCAACACCGCCTTTGCCAGAGAAATTAAAAAAACAATGCGAATAATATCCGGGTAAAATTTTGATTTACGTCATTGATTGAAACCCTTGCTAGATATGCAATGTTTCCCATTGACATATATACACGCCGCATATTGCTACGTACTAAATTGCCTCGTATTTCTTTCAAAATGATATAGCGGCGTTGTAAAATTGTTCTTACACTCTCCTCCAGGCCAGGCAGCGAATGCCACCCTGAATGACATATCCATCTGTTAACCCTTGGAGAGAGCAATGCACGGCCTGTCGACAGTCTTTAGAATGGATGGATGACAAGCGTCCAGATTCATGGATTACACTAAAGTTTGGTAATCGATGGAAAAACCAATTAGCGTATGGAAAAGGAGTTCCAGACTTTTTTATTTGTATCGACTGAGTAATGACAGAAGGTATCGACGAAATACAGCCTTTGCTCGAAGGTCCGGACGTGGTTTCTGTCAGGGCTGCCAAGTGATATTGATATTCTAAGCAGAGCATATGAGTCGAAGGGGCACGAAAGATTATGCAACGCGTGATATTCATTTTGGGAGAGGTGCGGAGTATTTTTCCCAGGGTGCATAGCATTCTGCAAGACGTGGGAAACTCTCTGCATAACACTCCTTCTTCATGTACAACATGATGCATCACTGGAGGGAGATAAATCAATGGGTATTACACCAGAAAGCTGAAACCAGGTAGAAATAAAAAGAACTGCAAAATGGGACAAGGTGTGGCGAAAACATGATTTTCTCCTCTTACCTTATAAAAATGGTCATATTTTTGTTCCCATTACGCGAGTGTGTTACCCTATAGCATACCATGTTCTTGCACGTTATGGACGCGCTTTCAGCGTTCTACGCTCTAATATAATTTGTAATGCATTCAACACATTTGCTTTAAATCAGTTTCATCGTAGCCAAAATAATTTTTCAAATAATACCCAGTCATTTAAAGCGCCCTTAAACGATGAACTTGGAAGTGAAACTTTTTCTTAAACCAGTACCGGAAACTCTAGTGTAAAAGAAATAAAATTATATCATTGTTTGAATTCGGAATTTCTTTGAACGCAACTTGACAATAGCTACTGATGTACCAATTTTCCTTTTTGTGTTATATCTAAAACATGGTTATAATTAGGGTAATTCAGTCAATTAGTCTCCTAGTCACGGTCGTCTATATTCCGTACATCCCAAAGAAAATGTGCACTCAGGAAATATATGTCAAGAGTACCCAATTTCATAGGATCATTCCCTGAAAGTGCTTTATACCCAATTTTTTATGCCTGTCCTCTTTCTTCTCGATGTAGCAAAACAGTTTGAAAGGAATTCATTCCCCCCGCCCACAAAGAAAAAATTATATTACTGAAGGACTTGTGCCTCAAAATAATTTTTCCTGAACTCAAAAACCCAATAACTACTTTTTTACCAAGTTGGTTTATATCACATCTACCGATAGAACACGGTTAGAATCAGCGTAAGTCACTTTCTCAGTCCATATTGATTGCCCCTACGAGGGTCTTTTAAAATATGTTGCCCTTTATAAATAGTCCTTGGATTAGACGTCTCCATTTGGACAAACCTATTTTTATTGGCAGGCGAACCAATCCCTAAATACTGTAAAAGTCAGTTTAAAGTTAGCTTTCATTGGTATTAAAGCATTAAGTCTCCGGAAAACATTTTTTATGAATCATTCAATGATGCTTTTGCGTTATTTACTTTTGATGGAAATGAATGCATGTTCTACTCGCACACAGTGTAAAAAAAATCATTGGACTGATATTGTGATAGGAAGGGAGGAGCTATAGAGCGGAAATGGTGAAAAACACTTTGCAACGATGCAAAATATTTTAGTACTAACCGACCCGCGGAAGACTTCCACGTACTCCTCGTCAAGAAATCCCGAGTTCATTCGGTGGCCTAAAACTCAGTGACCCTCTCATCGCGATAGGTATCACCCCCTCTCTCTCATTATATACGTGTCCCCACATGCAACTCTTGTAATCCCCTTTCGTCCCGCTAATGGGAAGATGACTTTCTTGCCGGGGTGAGATCTTCGCCCTTAGATTTATCGGCACTTTTCCCTATTGATTGCAACTCTGTCCGCTTCGTCCGTAAAGGTCATCTCCATCACTTTGCGTGCAAGCCTATGAGTGAAATATACGGATATGGATACGGGATGGTAACGACCCAACATTCTTGATCCTTGCAATGCAAGAATGAGCCATCCTGTTCTGTCCCACCTTGATGGGATCCTGCCGCTTCCACCCTCTAGAATTATTCGCCTTCGCACGGAGGAAAACGGGACTCGAAGTATTGTGCGGGTGGTTTCCTGCACGAAAGCTCATATCTGTGGTGTGAACGTCCCTTAGTTATGGGGAGGGATGCGCATTCGTACAGTGACTCTTTCTCCTATTCTCAAGAACGTATCCGACTATTGCAAAGGCCGGAGAGAAAGTGCGAGCGTGAGACGGGCACCCCAATCCGCGGATGTCTTCCACGAACTGTTTCTTGGGAATTCCCGAGCTCAGTCAGCAGCCCTAAAACTCAGCGGCTCTCTCAACGATATAAAGCAGCACCACCTCCATCCCGTTCTCGAGAGTGAGAGGCTAAGCGTTTCGTATATTCCGATATTCACGAGTTCAATCGGCGGCTCCATTAACGCTCTGCGCATCAGCCCTTATAAAAAAACCTCACACTCCCTCACATGTGGAATGGGTGTGGAATCGTGTGGAAGGGGTGTGGAAGGGGTATGGAATCGTGTGGAAGGGGTATGGAATCGTGTGGTAGGTGTGTGGATTCAT